CACTGACACTGGTAATGAACTACGCACACACCCCATTTAACCCATTCAGGTTCATCTCTGTCACCAGCTAAGAAAGCAAATGACTTTAAAAGTTGTGGCTGTAACGTAATACTGGAATGTCAACATGGGAAGGTCTGCAGAGCATAAAATGCTGTACAGTTCAGTTTTCTCTGAGACTGAGTAGAGCAGAATAGAGAAAAGCTGTTATTAATATTTACTATAAGGCAATAATAGACTACAATAACTATAATATAATACTTTATTATAGGTAGCCAGTTTGGCCAAAAGGGGATAGCACTTACCATTATAAAATCATCTGTCATGTCCAACTCCTCCTCCTCGTCCAGGCTGTCCGTGGCCACTTTTTCCAGAGTTGCAACAGCAAATTTTTTCAAACTTTGATGGTACTTATCTTCCAGATCTCGACATTGGGCAAATGTATGATTGTGTCAAAGAAATCAATCAAACAAAATTTGATTCTTGACATGGCAAAACAGGCAGCTACTGAGATTAATTTAAACTGAATCCAATTCGAGTTGGATGGAGAAAAAGCAAGGACTTTTCTTAAGGCCTTGTTCACAAGTAAGGGTAAAACTATAGTAGAGATCTGTTCTGGTGGGTTAATCTGGCACTACATCAAGATGTATCTTGTATATCTACTTCATCAAGAACATATATACTATATTAATATACTAAACATTCAGGTAAACAGTAATAATTCTGTGTTATTTAAAATGATTTAAAGCTCTCCAGCCAATGTGGAGTGATAAAGGCTATATCCCTTGAACAGTTTCACTGAAGTTGCCCACCATCTCTGAGATGCTGAGGTCCAACGTTTTGATGAAATCCTGAAATGGACAGGCAGCATTACTGTGAGTAAAGCACAGTAGTAGAGCTTTTTTTAACATGTAACTGTAAGTTAAATGATTTATATCTACAGTATAGAATCAGGCAGAATCTATGTAGCAATTAAGTAGCTCAAATTCAATGATCCTCTCAATTTTTTAGAGTACAGTTTCATATTATTTGATCATAGGTACAGATAGCATGCACACACCTCCACCTGGCTGATCAGCGGAAACTCCAGTGACATTAAGCTTTTACAGAGTTGGTTGATTTCATCATTGCCGCCATTGATCTCGACCTTCAGTAAATCTGGGTCTGACAACTTCTGTAACCTCTGTAACCTCTGTAAGGGTATGAATGCAAGTAGCTCAAATTCAATGATCCTCTCAATTTTTTAGAGTACAGTTTCATATTATTTGATCATAGGTACAGATAGCATGCACACACCCCCACCTGGCTGATCAGCGGAAACTTCAGTGACATTAAGCTTTTACAGAGTTGGTTGTTTTCATCATTGCCGCCATTGATCTCGACCTTCAGTAAATCTGGGTCTGACAACTGCTGCAACTTCTGTAACCTCTGTAAGGGTATGAATGCAAGAGTTATTCTTCATTATTTACTGAATTATCTGGAGTTTACTGAGCATAACCCAGTGCAGATCTTTTGAAGACATTACATTTCTTTCAGCTTACCTCTTTGTGTTGCTGCTCAAAATTTGCCAGTATGTGTGATGCTTTCTGTTGGTAGTACTTCACAGTCTCAGTATGACCAGAGAAGAAGGCGGTCACTTCCATCTCTCTTTGTTTATGCTCAGCCAGGCCTACTTCAAATAACTTCATACACAACGCCACCATTTTCTGCTCAAATGTAAGTGTGGGATCAAGGAATTTAAAGCTACAGGATCTAACTTTTTAAAACATATTTCTTGTGGAAATCTGCTCCAAAACTTGTCTTAATGTGGAGAGGTGCTGTTGAAGCCTCCTGTGACCCAGACTTAATGAACATCGCTGGCAGCAGTGCAGAGATATCAATTCCTAAAAGGTTTGGAGTTGGATTGACCTCTTGAACCAATCAGAGATTTTCAATGATTTCTGTTTAATCAGTAAGTTTTTTTGCATTCTCATTTCTTGCAATTTCATAATAATAAATATCTGCAGAGCTGGGCAGAGTGTGGTGGAGCGTAGCAGGTTGTAGTAAAGAACAGTTGAGCAAGGAGAGGGAGTGGTGGGCAGAGCAGAGTGGTTTGAGCTGGAGTTTCATGCTAGTGCTTCCTTAAACTACATATTATAGCTTTAAGAAAAGATTTCCCCAGATTATACAGTACTATCAACACACCTGCATGGATTAGAAGACCAATAAAACAAAGGATATGTTTGAAGCAGATCAGCCACTTCAGGCATACATTGTAGTGTCTCTGCTGCTGGATCATCATCAAACATGCTCTTAAACAGATAAGACCCATTGAGGAACTCCACAAAAGCATCCTGTAGGAAATAAAAACCGTTCTGAGTAATTTACAGCAAATTTCAACTTTGAGAGCTCACTGGACAATGACTGTATCCCCAAACAAGAACTTTATCTTACTGTGTGTAATTGGAGCTCTGCTTTCTGGCTTTGCTCAGCATCGTCAGCTTGTTTTTTCTGCTGCTCTTCACATCTCATTTCCTCAAGGGCATTTTTGTATTTGATAGCTGCTTCATTTTTCTGCACACAAACATGATTTATTTAAACATGGCAAATTATAAACACCCATGAGGACAATGTTCCAACAAACTTGGGCATAGTTGTAGTTTTATAAAATGACCAAATATCCTTGAAGAAACCAAAAAAGTACAATACTTATATGACCAGAGTATATTATAACTTGGGTTTGTGTTAAAAAAACACATACCACTGTTTATACTTACTATTTTCTCATTAAGTATCTTGTAGTCTAGGCACATCAAGTCTGGAAAGTAGGCAGCAATGAAAAATATGTAACGGTCCTCCTCAGTGGCAGGATTTCCACATAGGGTGAGGTTGAACAGATTCTTAAATCTCCTGAGATAGAGCACCTGTGACATGTATTATATTTGCATTAGGTTAGGCAAACATTGTGTAATGTTATACTGCACTGTTATGCAATATTTGCAGTAAAAATGCAGTATCTTACATTTGGCATGTGACGGATGTATGAATAAAAGTTTCTTACATTGTCCAGCTGTCCGAGGAGGTTGTTTGCAATGGAGAAATGAGTGAGTTTCTCAAGTTTATCCATGTTTTCAATGACAGAGATTCTGTTGTTGGACAAATTCAGCATTTCAAGCTTCCGCAAAGACTGCAGACCCTCAATTCTCTTTATTTTGTTGAATGACAAATCTAAACAACACATTCAGAATGACTGTCAATGTTACTGGTAGTTACAGGGCTGATTATTTCAAATGTTGTTTACATGTCTGCACAATTACAGCAAGAAAGTTTGAGCAGAATATAAATACAAAGCTTTATCTTACCGAGCCATGTCAGATTAACCAGACAGTCCAGGCCCCAAATCCTCTCTATGAAGTTGTTATTCAAATTAAGCTTGGCCAAGGATTTGAATTCCCATAAGTTGTCAATCATCACGATTTCTGCATACAAATATACTTTTACATACCTAAATCCAATACACAGACATACAATGATTAGTAATTTTATGATTTTCTCACCTTTGTCTTGCAGATTTAGATACAACATTTCGTTAAAGTGGGTTCCCTTTGCCTTGGCAGTACACCCAGTCTGGTGTTCAACTGCCTGCTCTAGAAGCTTCTTGTCTATCACAATGGGCTCAGATTGCCAGTTCATGTTGCTGTTAGAGGAGCTGGATACTTCACTTTACTCTCTGCTCAAAGAGGAAAAGTAAATCATATTCTGTTAGTTAGGAGCTTGGTTTGTTTACTTAAAGATGATGACAAACAATAAAGCAATAAAAAATAACAACTGATAATTTAGCTAGGATAATATTAGCTTAGCTACCTATATAGCTAACGCCTTTATTAACTTGCTAAGATGAATGAATGAGCTTGACAAATATTTTTAGCCAACGTTAATAAGCTTATCCAGTAAGTACATACCAACAACTGCAAAACCTAGCCTTCCAGTACGAAGTACTTAAAAAACAAACACACATTTAGTACCTAAATAAAATCCATATAACGTCTTACCTCTGTTGTTTACACACTGTTACATAGCAACTAGCATACTTCAAGCTGCGTTCAAGTACGATAAAATGATTCTGTTAAAAAGAACCTTTAACTTGATTTGATTTGATTTGATTTGATTTATTCTTTCAAACATGCAAAACAGAACAAATGACAGCAACACACACATAGTTACACATATCCAACCAATGCTAATCCAAAATCAGTTTGCTTACACCTATTACATGTTTGAATGGAGTAGGAAGAAGTCAGACTTCAAATTATATATTCGGTTGGCTTATTGATATATGTTATAAAAACACAAATCGAAATAATGGCTTGATATTATGAGACTAATATTTGTGCACGTCTGTTTTGTCCTGGGAACAGGCTACATCTTTTTGAAAAATGCAGAGTGTACTTTATAAATCAAAAATTACATATTTTTATATTCTATATTTCAAAGGACTAAAGACTTAGTTCATTTTTATCGTTGTTTTTTGAGTATTAACATAAATATATATACAATTATGGTGCGCTATACATGCGCGCTATCAAGTAAAATAAATGTTTATAAAAGTGTTTGTTGAACATAGCTTCCGTTGATACATATGATAAACATTAATTCCAACCATACATATTGAACGTTATGTCTTTTCACCCAATTAGATTCATGTGTAGGCGGGACTTACTAACACCGCCTATGGGCCTCAACCTCTGTCATTCCCGAGCGAATTGTTTGTTGTCAAAATGGAGTTCTTACTTGGCAATCCGTATAGCACTCCTGTGGGCCAATGTATAGGTACGTTAGCCTTGAAAATATCAACTAGAGATGTGATACTTCATCCAATATACAGAATTCGCGCCTGGACAAATATTTTTTGTTTGCTGCTTGGATTTACGGTACCACTGCACCAGGGGAAATAGCAAGCTAGCAAGTATCATCGCAGCAAACGTCATCTACTTGGACTGAGCTTTAAGATAATGTTAGCCAGCTATCGTGCCTAACTTAGTCCTCTTTAAGCACAACTCTTTATGCTAAATCATTCTGTATGGTGTAGCACAACTCTTTATGCTAAATCATTCTGCATTGGTGTAGACAGTGCAGTACAGTTTGTAATGAAATTAAATGAGAGGGAATACCCGGGCGGTGTAGTGTCACATCTTAAAATGGCTTACATAGTCTTAGCGAAGTTCAGTAATGTTATTACGTTAGTCCCTGAGCCAAAGTTGACCATACTGCTCGGTCATCTACTACAGCCCACTGTTGTAAACCTCTGTGCTGTGCTGCTATTCGAAACACGTACTGTGGTGTGGTTGTCTCTCACCTATGGCCCGTGCCAGTTGTCATGAAAATCTTGCTGTGCCTTTACCATGAAATAGTTACACAATTTATGAGAATAGCTTTTCCGAGTTTTGTTTTGTTCGATGATGTAAACGTGTAGTCTGAATGCAACTATGTACTTTTCTTTTGGTGTTGTTTTCATATCAGTTAAACTAAATCTAGTAAGGCTCTGTGATGAAGAAGTGTCTGAATATCACCAACCCCAGTGCAGTTTTACAACTTTGCTACTGTTCTGTTACTGTTTTTATAAAGAGATCCCTTTGGTTCTGTTGGATAATTCCATTGACTCTTAATAGCATTTACCATCTTTATTTGTAATCACTTTTGATTTAATTTCTAAAGCCAGTGTTTATAAAGTTGTGCCAAACATAAACATTTTATGCACTGTTTCCTGTTAGTTTAGCCACTGCAAAACAGACTAAACACAAACTTCTCACAGTGTTATGTATGTTTACCTTAAGTAAATGCGACAGCTGTCACAGAAGTATTTGTTGGTAACATTATTTTAGCAGTCACAGGAGAGCAAGCTGCTGTTTTATAAGTAATGCTTGCCTGTGCAGCTGTGAGGTTTTCTGATGTCCATACCCTAACCTGTTTTTGATTTTCGAGAGGCAGGGTGTAGTTGGGTACACAGCACTTTGACCAAGCTTGTTGATGCAACTGGATAAAACTGTTTGGAGGGAAGAAGTCTTCAGGAATTAGAGCACCTTTGCAATTGTTCTCTGGCCTGGTAAATGTTGTACACTACCCACTGGTCAGCTACATTGTGCCATTCCATCCAGGATGGCAGTCTGGCACCAAATGTGAGCACTGACACTAGCATTTAACTCAATGAGATCCTTCTAGGTTATGTGGTGGATTATATGCAGCACATCTTGGATTTCCCCACCTGACATAGATGGCTGTATCAGCCTGATCACTTCGGTTGCATTGCTGTGTTGTGCAGAGCTGCGCAGTCGGCTCTCTGACTGTTGCAGCAGTACTGTACACCACAGCAGCAGGTCAAAGGATCAATTTACTTGCTGCAATGAGAGAGAAACAGGGCATTTGATGAAGGATGCACTGGGCATTATTTAATTCCTAAGTGACTGAGAAGGGCTTAGAGGAGGTGAATGATGCATGCAGGTATTTGCCATGTGTGCTTATCTTTATGTTGACATTTTACATAAGGGGAGGTTCAAGTTATGCTCTGCTTTTATGTTGTTTATTTCTAGTCTTCATGTTGCAGATTCATGGTCGAGGCACTTTGATAGAGTTTCACCACTGCTGTGCCTATTTTTCCAAAAAGTAAAAATTTTATAGAGCTTTAGTATACACAGACCTTTGCCCGCTATTTGACCAAGACAAAGTTATTCTGAATGCTGGGTATGTATATCCCTGTACATAACCAGAATTTGCTGCTATATTCCCTGTTTAGAGGACTAGCTCTTGGCTAGCAGCTGGTGTCAAACTACTGATGTTGCTGTGGAAAACGTGATCAAATACATTATAGACAAAAGATAAGGACAAGTGGAAAAAGGACAGAACGGAGAGAGATGGAGATGTGTGGCTTTGTTGGCAGTGCATGGCACAGCCTGGCACTGTTAAACCCATGTGATCAACTGGCTTCACTGGTGTGCTGTCGATTTCCAAGCCTGGGGCCATTAACACAACACCTTGAATGAATGTACTCAGCAGCCTTTTAACTTCATTAGGAAGGCTGTGATTGTTCAGTGTTGCTCCAGTTTGTTTCACATGGAGAAATCAGATAGTTTTTTCTCTTTCCTTTCCTCCTCTGCCACTCATGTGCTGCCTTGCATTGACCTGACAGTCCACTTGAGGTGATTACTTGGGCTAACCCCAACGTTCTCACCCATGCTGGTAATTTTGAAATTCACTTTGTGGCTCTCTGTTTTGTAGATGGGACTCAGAGTTTGCCAAAAAGATGCCTGTCTCTTGGTGGTTGCACAGTCTGTGACAAGTTGATTAGAGAGAGGAGGTAGAGAATGAATAAGTCATGGTTGTCAGGCTTGTCCAATGTTGAGCTTCCCAAAAGGAAGGCAACATGGCCCAGTGAGAGGCTCTTGGCCGGGGCATGACAGCCTGCTCGGGGCCTCTGGGCTTCGGAGACTGAGCTCCTCCTGTCCACTCTCAGGAATCATCTAATGAGAATCTATTGAGTGTCAGTCACAGCTTGCTCCAGTAGAAAACTGTTCTTTTTTCTGTGAATTTCAGCCCAAATGACTCTGATCCTGAAGGATATCAACATTCACAGACATGATGGATGGATTTGGGGAATGGAAGGAGGAGACAGAGTGAAGAATGCAGGGCTGACTGCAGTGCCAGTGCCAGTTCACCACTGTAACTTTGCACAGTCTGAATCACATTATTTCCCATAGCCAAAATGCTATTAAATGGTAGGGTGGAGTGTGAAGGAGAGAGCAGGTCTCTGTGGTTTTTGTTTTTCAGCTGTTAGGCCAGTTATGATTCAGAATGCAGCCACATCACACCCACAGTCAGCTTCTCTATCCCCTGGGATGTTAGCTGTCCTCTCTCCAGCTGAATGTTTAGTTCTTTCAGTTAATTTCCTTGAATTGGAGGTGTCAGAAAGTAGGTGGTGGATAATATTTTATAGCATAAAATATATGTTCTTACAAGAACAGTGATGTGAAAACTAAATGGTGTGAAGAATTCCAGCAGTCTGATCTGTCTTGTAATCCTAGACCCAAGACTTCATTCCAGAGATTGGTTTCCAGTTAGGCTTTTAATCGATAGGCTGTCCATGCCTCACAAGGCAAACATAAAGTAAAAAGCATGTTCATGTGAATTTCTAATCACAATAACAAACACCTAGAGTAGAATTGTTTGCAGGGTGTCCCGTCATGTTATAGCTGTTTTAGTATTTTATTATTGAGTTCATTTTGCCAAGTTAGTCTCAGTGGAAATGAGCCATTGCCATAGACAGGGGGTACTGAGATCCTTTATGAACTCGGTAGTTTTTGCCAAAGTTACAACAGTTGTGGTCATTTCACATTAGTATTTATTTTTTACTCTCTGATAAGCTCACTGGTGTAAAGTGGCTGGGGCTCCATTAGAAAAAGGTGAAGTCACAGTGTCAGTTGCTTGTTTGTTTAGTCGCTGTCATTAAAATGTGATCAAGCCACACCCACACTGTCCATCTGAAGAAGACTGGCCAAGTCTTTGTTTTCCTTTAAAAACTGCTGACTTACTTATGTAATAGTTTTACTCTCAATGTTACTGTATGTAAAGCATGGGCTGCTTTAATTAATGTGCAATTAATGTCCTGGTTGAACTCTCTGTCTTTGTCCAGAGAGGGCGACTGACGGAGGCCTACAGAATGAGGACTGGACCCTCAACATGGAAATCTGTGATATCATAAATGAGACAGATGAAGGGTGAGTTGCTGCACCTTCAGGAAAGAAATTATTGTTGGCTTATATGTATATTAAGCACTTCATATAATCAGTCTTTGGGCCAAACAAGTTTCTGGTCCCCGTGTTGGTTGTTCCCCCAGTTTCATGGAACCTTCAGTGGCCGACTGAGTGACTCGAGAAAAATAATGCACTGACTGCTGCGCTTCTCCAACAGACACCACACCACAGAAAGCCTTTTGTTTTCCATAACTGTCACTGACTGACTGACTGAATGAATGAATGAAATTTTTATTTAAGCCTCCCA